TGTGTGTGTGTGTGTGTGTGTGTGTGTGTGTGTGTGTGTGTGTGTGTATGTGTGGAGAGAGAATCAAGCTGGATAATACAATAAAAAGTAATCGAACGGACGAGTAATATGTCTGAAAAGTTGCGATCGGTCAGTCATCTCTGTGCGAATCACGCCGACATAATATTCAGTGATCGTCGAATCAATAGTCGTCCAGATACGCATCCTTCGAGTCCTCCACCCGCAACCTGTTCTTGCGCGAATGGACAGAGTTGGCTTCGGAGTTGGAAGGATGAACTTCATTGTTCCTATAGGGAGTCTAGAATAAACGAGAAAGCCCCATAAATTAATTCTATCTGAGTTAATAAGCATTAGTCTTATTAAAATTTATTGAAATTTATGAAATAAATGGAAAATCCAAATCCTAATTAAACGATCTTCAATAGAAGAACGAAGACGGAAGAGAGAAAGAGAGACAGATTTTGTAACATCTTTTTTTGGATTTGATTTTAATCGTCTATTTAATTATTAATGGGTAAAACTTTTTAAATATTCAACAAATTTTAATTTTCTCGCCGAGTATTTTAAAGTTTTAAAATATTGGCTTAGTTATATTTTTATATTTTAGCAGAAATATTGCGAAATGAGAAGAAACAGATCGATTGAATTGGAGAGAAATGGTTAAATTAAGACTCTTCTTTTCTCTCTCTCTCTCTCTCTCTCTCTCTCTCTCTCTCTCTCTCTCTCTCTCATTTACGAATGTTCCAACTTCGCTAGCTCCGAATGACGATAGCTTTTACTTACGTCGTCGAGAATCGCGATCAAAAATTTCATCCTGGGGAACCTGCAGTCTCCTTCCTCGCAGTTTATAGCGCGCATAACAGGTAAGGGTACCAAGCGCTTCCTCGCCTGTGAACCTCGGCATGACGGGTGATAGGGTTCGTCCCTGCAACAGTGACCCCGCGATTTATATCTTACAGTTCCGTTTATCTTCCAGCGACACGGGGAGAAGAAAGAAGCTTATGAATACGGACACTTACTCGCAGTTCACCGCGCCGACCCAGGACTGGTAATAGCACAGGAGAACGGCGAAGATAATTAAAGATCGCTGCACAAACGTCTGAAAAAGAATTAAGATATTATCTCGCGTGAATTATGAATTTGTCACAGGAACACTTTTGCGATTCCTTGCGTTTCTGCGTTGTTTTCGAATCGCATATAGCCCTTCCATTTATTAATTATCCATCTAACTAAAAGGTCAGGGTGTACGTAAGGATAATCGGGAGTGCCAAGTGAAGAATGATTCGCGCTAAGTTATCGACAAAATTTTAATGAACTCATAATGAGCTTGCAGCGCAAAGTGCGCGGCAATCAACGCTAAGCTTTTTAACCGGTTCGACGTGGCCAAATTGACATCGACGACACGAATAAGAAGTTATAGGAGAGGGCTTCCTCTCGCCTTTCACGCAAGCAGCGGATCGTTCGCCGATGAAGTACAGCAGATTTTTACGCGACACTATATATATATGGAAAAGCATCTTTACGAGGAAACAAAAAAAACACAGGACTTGTCCTAATGAGTGACAGAACCACGACGAAAGGTCATTTCGTTTGGTCACCATGGTCAAATAGCTGCCGTTCTTCCGCGAAATCGATATTCGCGCAGCTATTTATTTGCCGATGCGGCGAAAACGACGCGAGAAACACCACCATTTGCGCCGCGGCCAATTTGCAGCGTCGTATTATTATTTTCACCGGAGAGACATTCTCGGTTATTGCGAGGGCCGGCAAAGGTTTTGCCCACGCTTCCTGGACTTTACTCGATTTTCCGCAAGCGGCGACAAAGGGGAAAGGTCGGCGCCGGAGCGATAAAGTTGTGTCGGATGAATTTTGAAGGCGTGCCGCGGTACAAAGCCCGGGTCTAATTTTGAATTTCGTTTATCCAATGCCAAGCGTAAATCGGTCTAATATTTGCGCGATATCGTATAATCAAACGATATCGCGTTCGACCGCGTTTTAGCGCTAAACGCCGACGCCGACGGCGACGAAACGTGAGGCGTTTTGCCCGCGCGTGCGTTACGTAATAGAGCAGCCGATGCGGACCTTGATCGTTGCGTAAAGTTCGCCGTCAGATCGGAAAATTGTTCGATTCCAATTTAGCCGACGATGTAATCTATATTTATCACGGCTGTGACTTCGGGGCCTCTTTTATAACGGGGAACTCTCGGGGTCTCTCTTGCAACAGAATTCTTATCGTGCAAGCACGGTATTTATAGCTGTCATTTAATAGTATTTAAGCAAGCGTTTAAAGCTATATATAATAAACTTCAACCAATATCTGAATTTTTCTCCGCATTAAGAAGTTTCGGTAATTGCAAAAGTTCGTAAAACAACATTGTAGCTCTGTAAATTCAAGCCTAAATCTCGATCTCGCAAAATATGCGGAGAAGACCAGCTTTCGAAATTTTCCTTAAAAAACACTAAACAGAGAGAATTTTTATTTCGAGAGTTTCTAAGAAAAGACACTTAATTTTATTTACAATCTTTCCAGATTTTCTAAACAAACTTCCCTGGCTAATGATACTAAGGGGATAAACAACCTTGACAAACGAAAAAATAGATTTTATTATTTTAAATTAAATATATAAGAAATAAAAAATTCTGAGTATTTGATTTGATATAAATATTAATTATAAAATATTGAATTCGAAAAAAATAGATACATTTTTTGTTGTCTATCCCCTTAATAGAAAGAAATTGATAAATAAAAAAAACTAATAAAAATTAAAAGATGCGATACGGCGGGATAAAAAGTGTTTTTCCACGGCAGGAATAGCCGTGTTGCCGCTTATTTATTTTAATACATCTTTTTCTCCATCGGCGACCGAGTCGCCGTGTCAATCCTCGACGTGATTGAACGAAGTTGAACCGATCACGTAGCACACATGCCGTAAATAGGTGTTTTATAAGAATTTTGTTTTTAGAATACGTCATAGGTACGAGAATGAATTTCCCTCGTTCCCCGGAGGAAACTCCGGCATAAACATCGCCGAGATTATTTCCCGGTATTCGTTTATAATGTGGATCAATAAATAAATAGGTTGCATCTGCGAACGGCACGTATATTAATTTCTCTTTCTCTCCGCCTTTCTCTCTCTCTCTCTCTCCCTCTTTCTCAAGAAACTTCTATCCGTACCTTACAATGGAATATCTCGAGCGCGAACGTTTTTTTTAGCTACGAATCAAGTGTGTTTATAGAGTACGCAAAGATATTTCCTTTTCTGTTTCTTCCGCTAATAAGTAATTCGAAATGAGAATCTTTCGACGCATGGTAAAAAGATTTTGATGATTGAAGTTTGTGTGAATTTTATTTTCTTAAAATTATTTCGTGGTAAGAGAGAGCATGAAGAGAAACGCCCGTAATTCAATAATTAAATGTTTAACAAATGCAAAACGAAGACGGAATGTTTCCTTGCCGAAGAAACCCGTTTAAGAAACTTTTTCGAAACCGTACGCGAATATGCAATCATCATCAGGTACACCAAACGGCAATTAAATTATTTCCAATTGCGTGCGTCAGTAGAAATCCAGCCCTTCAGAGATTTCTGCCTTCTCTTAAAGTCCTTTGCTGTAAAGTATTTTAATTCGTTATTGATACTCGCGTTCTTTTTCTTCTGTTTATACTTTCAGACCAGCCGCTTCCCACTATACAATTTTTAATTTTTAATTCAATATATGCGTACCTATCCTACTTTAATTTTTCTATGTACATTTTTAAGCATTGTACACTGTTAAATATTAAATATTAAATGTTTAAAGCAATACCTTGAGTTAAATAATATTTTGTTATTTTTAACTATCATGTGTGTCGAAATTTATTGTTTTAACACAAAATAGTATTATTTTAATTCTATTAGTTTAATTAAATTAACATTGTTGAGATGACGCGTGGCTCAGTGCCTACGCGAATGATTACAAATACCAAGGTCCGTGGTTCGAATCCGACCCGGCCTTTGTCCCATATATACTTCGTTAAGAAATTTTTCCCGATTAAGATCCTTATGGATTAATGGTCTGCACGACTGGGAATCGGAAAGGATTCACAATCTGCAAGGCTTAAGATTCGTAAAGGATCAAAAGATTGAGGCATTTTTTGAGATATTTCAAAGAAAAAAAAAAGAATTTCATTATGGTTAAACAAATGTTTTACGGTTGCGATCAGAGTGGCGATCAGAGTCGTGCGATAGAGCGCTCCGATCGTAACCGTTTAACCACAATGAAATTCTTTTTTTTACATTTTTTTTTAAATTATTATTTTTAAAAATTTTCCAAAAAAAATTTATTTAAAAAAAAATTAACATTGTTTCAGTTAAATTACCGACATATTGAGTAGAAGCAGTGGCGATCTACAAGAGTGGTTAAAAATGACTCAAATTGAGTATAATTTGAGATTACAAAAAATTCCAAATTGTATCCCATAAACTTTATGGAGAAAATGTCAAGAATTTTTTCTACCGCATTCGGTAAACACATCCGAAGTTTCTACCTCCTAAGCCTACAACCATCTAATTAAAAAGAACTTTGATTAAACGCGAGTTATATCTAATTCTGTTCGCTTGCCATTTAACCTGATTGTAATCGATGTGTATCTCCACATAGGCCTCGTACAGGGGAGTGATACGAAGGCATATTCGAAAGTTCCCGATTATGTTATCGCGCGAGAAGTTTCACTGTATAATAACAGTTATGCGCGAATGACAGTTTATGCTATCCCGATAAGCGATACAATTAATAATATCGCTTCCAGGTATGTTTCCTCTTAGGGTATGTTGCCCCTATCGTTCAACATAAAATATTGGACAGAGAAGCGCGTGCGCACTTTTTCGAGGTATTTAAAATATTAAATCTTCGTGAAAACGTCCTTAATAAGTTGAAGAGAGTTGCGATAAAGTAGCCGACACAGAAAACTGCGTTTTTTCTTTTTTTTGCGAGGATTTATTTTTTTTTTACTTCTTGTTCATCAACTTGAAATATTTCTAGCAATGTTCAGACAATTAAATCGATATAACGCTTGATAAATTGTGCAAATTTTGCGGTAATCTACTCAAATTCCCGCATCTCGTTATCATTAAATAACATTGTTTGGGAACATTGTTAATATCTGAAAACGACGCACGCGTTCATTCATGTTTTGTCATTTGATCCGCGTATATGAATGTGTGGAAATATAAACTTGATATTCGCGCGTATTAACACAAAATTTATCAAAGAGCCCATTCGGCAAGAGTAGGCAGCGCGCCGACGACACGCGGCCGGCACGATCATAATGTCGTGCACACAGCCGATTTTAGTTAATTGGCGGCTATCGTAATTGCGGAAATTATGCAAATGGATTGCTATATACGCGTTTAATAAGGCTCCGGTTCTCGTAACTCGAAAATCGATTCGATTACACGTGACAAACTCAAACATCGGGAACCATATATCTTTTCACCTAAGAAAATCGTAACTCCCAACAAAATTATAATAAAGAAATTAAATACATTAACTTCTTTATTGATGATATCGTGTTATACAAACCGTTGACTTCACAAAATAAATAAATTTGAAAACGTCTTAGGAGTTTTTAATGTTAATTAATTTGAAACATAAGGCAAATACAAGCAAAACGTCGATTTTATAGCGAATAATAAATAATACAAAATTTATAATGTAAGTATAAAACAAAAACGAAGTTAATTAAAAGTTAGTTAATTTCAATGAGAAATTACTAACGTTATCTTAAATATATAAATAATTGGAATAGCAAAATATGGAATGCGGATCGTCTGGTTGTGCCAAGAACATCCTGTATTGTTAACTTAATTAGAAAGCAACGTTTGTCAAGGGATTACACGACTAAAGAATGCTGCGCGTTATTAGAGCTCGTGAGTCGCGTATAAATGAAGACAAATACGAACTAACGCGATGACACGATCACGATATTCGCGATACTTCAGCCTTGAGGATAATATTAATTATTAAGCAACATGTCGTGCGTTGGCAACCTTAACTCGCATCCGTCTTCGTTTACGGATAGGTACGATGTCGAGTTTCGACCACTCATCCTTGTTAATCCGG